GATAAACAATTCAATTTTTTTAAAGAGAAAGTATTCGAAAGTTCAAGGAACAATTTACAAAAATGCATCAATTGTCTCTCATCATTGTAATTCCCTTTATTTCACTTATTTGTTTAAACCAATTATAACAGTGTCTACGTATATTCTAATCCGATTCGAAAAAAGTGATATGGTATCATGATATTTCCTACGCAATATGACCAATGTCGCGCTTCGTCACAAATTCTCTAAGCATTCCTAAAAACATTGATACTGTGAAATTACACCGATCCGACAAATTGTTTTGAGATACGAGAAGTGTCAGATAGTATGTTCGGAACGCGAGAACCAGGGAAGATATAATAAACTTTACCGTCGCAGCTGTCAACCGAAGAGAACACGATTAATTCTACAGAAAAGTTATAATTTCATGTAATTAAATTGTACACGACGGTATATTATCAATTCTTAAACATTATTAAAAATAAAAATTTAAGAGGGAATAATATTCATCTATCATTATTACTAACTATTCTTTGTACCGATTGGACAAACGCAAATCATATTCACATATTTCTCTATCAACTAAACAAATAAACATCATATCACATTTTGACACCACACCATAATAAGATTAATAGTAAAAGCAATAACCTCTTATTCAATAAGTATGTATAGGAACGAACTTCGCGTACTTATTGTTTATATTTTATTTTCATCGGATCGGATCTTTGCATGTGTGAGTATGCACGGAATCATCAAATTCAAAACTGCAATTCATGAATTGCCAAAATAATTTAAGAAAATATCACACCTAAAATACAGTGTGACTGCGTGAAAATTAAAAAAATTTTATCATCAATCTTTCAAATAGTGTCTAGCAACAACATCCCAATACTATCCCCATCATAATCAAAGCCATAGTTATTATTATGCACAAGCAGGTTAAATAGATATCAAGATATTTCCCTTTGAAAAATCCCATCCTCCTTTCAGGACTGATCCATTCCTTCAGCAGTCCCTCGTAGTTTCCCCCACCTTCGCCTTCGCCTCCATCACCATCCAAAGCTTCTTTGGGATTTAACGTCAATGCGTGCATTACAAACTCAATTAAGTCTGCCGCCCTGTACTTCCTTTTGCTATTGATCACTGTCAACACCTTTATCTTCTTTAGATTATTCTGTACACTCTGATCTGTCAATAACAGCTTGATCTTACTTAAAATGTCTTTTACGTGTAATTCTGTTTTGTCGATCGTTAACCCCACACCCAATCTTTCCAACCTCTCGGCATTATTTAAATCGCCAAGCTCAATCGGCATGACCAGCATCGGTGTTCCAGTATACAATGCTTCGTATGAATTTGTGTATCCACCGGAACTCAAGAATATCTTAACATTTGTGTGATTGAGTACCGAGAACTGCGATGTGAATCTGGAGACAAGAATGTGCGGATGTTGGTTGGATAGGATCTCGGCAATGGTGAACGAGGCGCCATCCGATAAAGATATGGTCTTGAGGAGAATTTCATCAAATGATGGATTAATGAAAGACCAAATTACGCCATCAATGATTTTCTGTTGAATGGCTTCCGCGCATGACTGCAAAAGGATGATGTTGTTTTCCAAGGTGGTGTAAACCTCATTGCTGAAGGAGACGTAAAGAATTTTTTTGTGATCGGAAACAAAGGATAAAAGATTTGGCGTGAGAATCGGATATTCGTCTTGCATCACCGGCCCTATTTCCTGAATTTTAGAGTTTCGACTTGATTTTTTTCTATTTATCAAATTTAAGTATTCAGCGCATGAATAAAAAATACCTGAACCATGGGAGACACCGGATGGGGTACCTAAGAGTTTTAAATTTTCAAAGATGTGAGGTCGAAAATCATTATCGTGAAGCTGCCGGGAAAAAAAAAGTTCACCTCGAATCCAAAGAAAGTGTCGGCCAAGAACAACGAGTTCCTGACTATCTCGTAAGGATTGATGGCAGTGTTCACACCAACTTGAACACGAATCTCATTCAATTCTTCATCCACCGACCGCATCCCGAACGCAAACCGCATTGGCTCGATTATGGCACATCTGAACCTGTTCAAGAACGATTCGTTCTCCATGCTCACATGACAGTCATACCAAACTTCGGATCTGTAGAAAGTAGATGGGGATGCTGAATTTTAAGGAATTATGCATGATGCAAAATGGTTCATAATTTCAAAAGAAGAAAAGAATTTTTCAGATTTCAGATGAAATCACAAGAACCGGGCAAAAAAAGACAGCCAAAGTTCAGTTTTCGAAGGTGATCGAAAAACTCTGCTACTTACCCAACAACCCTTCTCCAAATCCAACCATCGGTCTATTATTTAACCGAGCGATATCCAAGCAGACATCATTCATCAACACATCGCAGATGAATAAATCCGGCTTCAAGGTTTCGGTGGCATGTTTATAGGCATTGAAATACGATAAATAATTTTTTGCGAAAAATCTCCGAAGATTGAAGATTTGTTTGTAGTCAACTTTATTATGGAAGATTTCTTGATAGGTTGGCTCCTCTTTGTGATTGATGGCAGGACCAGTAGATATTTGGCTGATCAGAGGATAATCCTCCGATGGTAGGATTTTTCCGGGAGCCACCAATGTTACCTTGTTTAACAAATGAATTTAAGAAAGCAGGGAATTATTATATCCTTACTGGAAATTTTTGAGACTACATTAGGTTCCAATTTGAACACTGCTCGTTTAATCGACCAATGATATCCCAAATATTTTTGCACCGAAATTCAGTCTATCAGTCTATCCATCTATATTAAGTATACTTTTTGTTTACTTGTATGGAAATTGACCAAAGTTGATCACTCAGCTTACATTATATCCACGCTCTGCCAGTACTTTACCGATCTCTAACATCGGCTTGACGTGACTCAACCCTGATGACAAATTATTTTGCGATGATTAAATATATGATGATGATTGCGAATTTTTTCTCGGGAAATCCGAAAATCACCTCCAAAGAAACTTCCAACAATAATCTGCTTCGGTACGCCAGTTCGATCGATCTCCAAAGGCCGCCTTCCAAGTCCTGCAGCATCGAAACTATACTCCATCGCGTCAACACCAAAACTTGTGAGTCCAAAGCAAAAATAAATCGCAATTAGGAGAATCAGAAATGTATGATCAGGATGTAAGTCCGACGGAGAAGATTTCAATGTCATGTTACAATATTTTTGTTTGGGGATAGAGGAAATATAATGTTTATTGAAGAGGATTACGTGAGTTTGATTTAAAAAACAAATTGAAATTCAACCAGTTCGCTTATTTATATTGTTCATACGTATCATTTCTACATAAGTCGTGTGCAATTATTATCGCGGAAAGTTTGATATACGCTAAACCATCGAAAATGAGGATGAGTCAGGTTGAACAATGAAGACAGGAAAAAATCAATGCGCAATAAAGGAAGAATAAGATCTGCGGTAATATAGTAGATTCAGGAAGGTTGTACGATGTTCTAAAAGTCTGACGGGTAGCATTCATCTAAATTACGTAAGGTTTGGCAAAAAAGATTATTATTTACTGTTACATTTGCTTTCTATTCAAATAGATATTATTTCACGTCCGAAATGGTGATTTTTCTAACTTGGAAATATAAACAAGAGTTACTGGCCAAGTAGTAGTCATCTCCGCGTGCGTTAATTACGGTGGTCGCTGCACAAATGAATTCTTTTGCTAAAGGGTCACCCGATATCCAAAGAAAATCACGCAGGCACATCTAGGACGCACGTTTATTTGTTGCAATACGGTAGAATGACTCGGTTATTGAAAAAGAAGATTTTTGCATGTGATGCGTAGAGATCCTGCTTCTTAAATCGATAGCTGAAACAACATACCGTAAATTAACATTTTCTGCCCATCCATCTATAATTAACAGTTCCCGAATTAGTATTGCCAATGAATATTACGTAGAGACAAAAAAAAAAATGCGTACGTGCGAAATTGTACATGCATACATTCTCCTGTTTGCTATTGATTGTTCTCGATCTTCGTGCAATAATATCCAGAGCCGTATTGAGTTCATAATTCGGAATTTTATTAAATTTCTTATGGAAATTTGGTGATTCATTAAGCCCACCAGAAGAAACGAAAACATCATTGGTTCTATAGATGGAGCAAATATCCTTTGTCGTCCTCGAACATCCAATGATAATTACTGTATTAAAAAGTCATTAATTTCCTAGATAAATCAATTTATTAATTACTTTACCAGCATACATGTCTTAAATCGTCATCTCAAAGTGCGGACAATGAATCACTGTTCTGATTGAGTTTTGTTTAATGCAAAGCTGTCTAGCGACTTCAGGAGATTATTATCCCATCTTATTAAAGTTGTCTGTGCGGCTTGGTATTTGTCTGCAACGCGACGCGGTTTGCAATTCAAAATAGCGTAGCGTTATACGTAAGAACTTTCAACCTTACGAAATGAACAACTGTTTTCAAACGGATTGTATTTTGATTTTTACATGATTAACATTTGATTCGTTGTTTGTCAACTTACGCTGCAGAAGGTAAATTAAATCGAAGATGTATGAAATTTTATTAGAATGAAACCCATTTTAAAAAAGAAACGAAAGAGGGAATGAACGAGATGAAATGAAGCGGTTTGCTCATTTTTCTTGATCTTATAACATTTATAATACTGTATGATTTAAACGAACCCTAATAGGCAGTTCGAATCAAATCATCAATTGTAAAAAAATCAAATTCTATTTATTGCGCGATATAGAGAATTTAATAAATGTACTTTTATCCGATAAAACTTGCATGGTTTGTATAATATTTATTTAATTTCAGATCTTTAATCCATAAAATTCCAGCAAATTTGACATGACAAAAAATTTATTTTATTTATTTATTAATTAATAATATAAATACAATTTAATTATTATTTGAACAATATTTCAAATATTATTAATCAAAAAAAATAAATTTTATTATTATTATTTTTATAAATTATTTACAAGTTAACTTTATAAAAGTCAATTTTAAAATAATGATGATTAATATATTTGTAAATTTTTATTATTAAATAATTAAATGATAACTGTTATTGGTAATAGAAAGAATTAATTGGTGCTTCATTCCTACTTCAATTGGATTAACCTATAGATCAAGTATTATAAGGCCAATAAGATATAAGCAACAAGTTCCCAGATGATAAAAAAGTTATTATTTGTTCAAGTTGAGATCTTTTTCTCTTATTATCCTAGTCAAGCAAAATTTAAAATCAAGGTCTTCTTCTTATTCTAGTCAGACAATAAAATTGAATAGTCTCTAGCTTCAATCCTTTAATTATAGTTAAGAATACATTTTCTCAGAAGTTATTGAAGGATATTATAATTGATAAGAATTCTTATTTTTTTTAAGATTCTTTTATCAATATAAAATCAAAGATTGTTGAGAAATTTGACTTTTTAAGTAATAAAAGATATTCATCAGTAAAATTCCTTTAATTAGATATGACTACTAGAGGATGTCATACTAAAATAATATTACTCAATTTCTACGGAATCACATAAAAACTATAAGTCACCTATTTATTATAGATGAATAAAAAATTATTTTCAAAAAAAGTTGAAATAAAGTATATTACTGAAAATAAAGACTCCCTTTAGATAATAAGTTTTTTTAAATAATACACAAAATAAAAATCAAAATAAAAAATGAATAAGTTTCTCAAATAATTAGAAAAATAAAGAATATTTCAATTGAGTATTTTTTATTAAGAAGAAGTTTTAATAAAGCTAGTCTTTAAAAAAAGTTAAAGAATTTTCTTTTCTTTTTTTTTATAATTTTCTTACATATCAATTTAAATATTTTTAGATATGTTCTTCTCCCTTTTCAATCCATTTTTTTGTAGTTTTTTGTATTTCAATGACTTGATAGAACATTCAGTAATAACAACCTGCTGGCAATAAAATAATGAACTAAGAAGATCTTTACTCAAAGTCTATCATAAAGTAAAATATTGTTTTAAGGCTAAACTTAAAGACTATTATTGTCTACAATAAGTTGATTATATTTGAAATTGATATTATACTGCTCAAATAAAAATATATCTATATTTTCAATTGATTAATAAACTATAATATAGCCTAACTATAGATACTAAATAATAATAATAATTTAATATTTTTTAAAAAAAAAATAAATTAATAGCTCTAAAATAATAATAGTAATAAATATTATAATATTATTAATATATAATAAAATTTTTAATTATTATTTTTTTTTAAATACTTGCAGTAAAGTTAGATAATAGTTTATTAATTAATTGAAAATATAAATATATCTTTACTTGAGTAGTATAGTATATATTATAGTTAAACATTTTTATCAAATTTAACAAACTTATTGTAAGTAATAATAGTCTTTAAATTTAATTTTAAAGATAATATTTCACTTCATGATATTTTTTAATAAATATTTTTCTAGTTTATTACTTCATTATCAACAGATTGTTACTATTAAATATCCTATCAAACCATTAAAATATAGAAAACTATAAAAGAATGAATTGAAAAAAGGAAAAGGAATATATTTAAAAATATATAAATAAACTTATAAGAAAACAAAAAGAAAAAAATAAAATAAAAATTTTCAACTTTCTTTAAAAACCTGCTTTTTAAGACTTTTTTTTAATAAAAATATATGATGAAAATATTTTTTTTCTAACTATCTGATAAACTTATTTATACTTGATTTTGATTTTCTTCTTGAATACTATTTGAAGAAATTTATTACCTATAAAACCTTTACTTCCAGTAATATACTTGATCTTAATCTTCTTTGAGTAATAATTTTTTATTTATTTATAGTAGATGGGTAACTTATAATAATTTTTAAGTTCTTATATAATTCAGTAGAAATTAAGTTATATTGTTTCAGTATGATATTTTTTAACAACTATACTTAGTTAAAAAATTTTACTAATAAGTATCTTCCATTATCCAAAAAGTTAAATTTTCTAACAATATTTTTGCCTTGTAATGATAAAAAAGTTTTGAAAATAATAAAAATCCTTATTGATTATAATATTTTTTAATAACTTTTAAAAAATATATTCTCAATTATAATTAAAAGATTAAAACTTAGTATGAACTAGAAACCCTTTAGTCTTATTGCCTGACTGAAATAAAAAAGATCTTAGTTTTAATATTGTCTGATCAAAATAATATGAAAGAAAATCATTAGTTTAAACAAATAATAACTTTTTTATTACCTGGAAACTTGTTACTCTTATCTTTATTAAATTTATAAAACTTGATCTATAGATTAACTCAATTGAAGAAATAAACTAAAACAGAGTCTCTATTAATTCTTCCTATCAAAAATATTATTAAAATATATAAGGTGATCAATAGATACTTGTTTATATTTAGCTGTTAATGTATTATATATTCATCAATTATATTTTGCAATAGGTTGTGTTATCCAAAATTCAGAATCAAATTGAGACAGGTAAAATTTTTCAAAAAATCTAAAAAATTTTAGATAACTATAAAAAAAAAATATGGTAAATATAAATCTTGAAAATATGGCTTGATATTTATTACCTTTTACTATAGAAGTTAACTATAAGTATAGATCAATATAAAAGATTTTGAGTACTATAATATTGGTTATTTTTCCTTGCAAAACTTTTTTACTACAAGTAAAAAGATGGTTCTTAATTTTTTTAGATTACTAGAAGCCAAGTTTTTGTTTAAAGATAAATATAACAAAAGAAAAAATATAAGAATATTATTTGAAGTAAAACTTCAAGTTGATTTAGAAATAGTATTAAGACTTTATTAATAAAGAAATAAATAATTTCTTGCAAATATCTTTTTATATATAAGTAGAGAATCAATAAAAAGAGTTTTTAAAAATTAAAAAAAATTTTTAAGTACCTATAGCCAAGCTAGATTATAGTTTATTAATTAATTGAAAACATATATATATATTTACTTAAGCAGCATAATATATACTACAATTAAACAGAAAAAAAAACTCTTTCTGCTGATCCTTCTTTTTCCTAAAAATTTCCTTTTTTGGCAATTTTTTTGAA